AAGTGGGAGGCCGGGCACGCCAGCCACAGCCACGCAAGTTAATCCCAGTTTTCAAGAAAAAAATTTGCCATACCAAACTTGGTAAACAATTGTACAATGGAAGTACAAGTGATTCGAGTGTTGGGTCAGACACTGAGAGTGCTACCAAATCCAACTTCAGGCATCGCTAAGCATTGTCAGTGGGACGTGACTTCAGGCATCGCTACACATTGTCGGTGAATCGTCGTATTTATTTGACGTTTGTTATTCCCACAACAGTATTTTTACAGAATAAATTAATTGCAATGATACATCATTAATAATTACTTGTCTTTTTGGTTGTGTGTGTGTTTGCCTATCCGCTTCCCTATTTCACAAGGAAAAAGTTTGATGACCCTGGTTTAAGAGCCACTGGCTACAACGTTGTCATAATGTTACCTCAAATAAGCACCACCCAGAAATGAAAGTGTTACAAAGTGGCTCTTATTTGAGGGTTTTTACGGTAACTGGAATACGTTAACGAATACAAGAAACAGGCAAGTGTAGGAGATGCAGATGCGTATAAAAATCACGCTTGATTTTCAATGGCATGCTGCAACAAACGCTAAATAAGATTCACTGAATGTAGGTAGTAATGTATGTTTTGTTAAAGGTCTGCTGGTTTATTCAGGTATGTTCGAAATGAGTAAGATTGCATGCCGTAGTTGAAAGCTTGACTTGATATTCACAAAGGACAAAGGCATAGATGAATGACCAATCAGTTGAAAATTTTTTTTTTAAATTTGGTTTTGAAATAGGATGCTTTCAGAATATTGAAGTTACAGACAAATATATACCTGTATGAGCGTGATGCATGCGGACTGTGCGATGGGTAGTACAATTCAGCAGTATAATGTGATCGTTCTGTTACGGGGCTCGGCGGTGGATTCAGAGTTTCTTTTGGATAATGACTTCCCATGCTACTGCCGCTAGATGATGCTCCCGTCACATGGCTTCTGTCGTAGTGTTGCACATTGCTTCCTGCGGGTACCGTACTTACAGACAGGCATGTATTTATAGACTTTGTATGGCATTTTGAAATACCTGAAAGATATGAGAGAATAAGCTAAACTGAAATGGATGCATCAGAGCTTAGATCTAGGATCAATTCATTAACAATTCAGAAACTGGTACTGTGTGAAAGCATTGACTCTCCCACTCACCTGATATTGATCTTGGTGGGGTTGTCTGTTGCGGACCAACTCCGACCATTGCAGTATAGTTGTTTTGGTGATTGTTCAACATGACAAATTGGTTATCACACATTGAATCTGGCTGGAGTTTATATCTCCTCCACCACCACATGGCGATACCAATAACGATGATGACGAAAATGAAACCAACCACAGCACCAATCAAGGAGTGCATGCTCCCGGCGCTACGAACTGGTGATGTATTTGGCTCAACGACTGAGTGGTGGTCTGAAAAACAAGTTGGAGAATATTGTCTCAACACCAATTAAAGAACTGAAAATATTAGAAAATGAACAAATCTGGGAGAGGTCTACCTGAGGTACCTATATGTATAGTATCAAAGCAATTGGACTTTAACAAAAAGTCGAAAATATCACTTTACCAAAAATAACAAAAATATTCATCAAAATTAGAGAATTGATTGATATCATCATGAAATGAAAACAAATCTAAGAGAGGTCTACCCAAGGTACATATACACCAAGTATCAGGGCAATAAAGTTTCTATTTTCCAAGAAGAAGTCGAAAATTAAAACAATTTGACATGGACGACAGACAGTCACTCATATGATGAGCTGCGCTCGACAAAGTCGACAGCGGAGCTAAAATCACAATAATAACTAATTAATTCATTCAAACAATTTTGCAAGCCACTTTTTCCCCTCTTCAATTGAAATATAAAACCAAAGTTCATGAGTGAGTCATTTGAATAGCGCCCTCTGTGTCCGTGTTTCAAATCCAATCCAATGCTGATGCTGTAAGACCCACAAGGCAACTTTTTTTTATTGCTTTATTTAGAAATCCAACAATTTATTACTCACCACAGTTTACTTCATCACTCCCGTCATCACATTCAATAATGTCATTGCATTCTGCCAATTCACTATCAACGCATTGTCCATTGGAACATTCAAACTGATCCTTCCAGCAGGGAGCTGTCAGAAATAAAGTGGAACCGATATATATATACAACATGTAAACCTGAATGTAGTACAATCTACATGCATCTCTCCAAACATGAATATTTTTCTAATTACTACAAATCATTAAATTGTAATTTCAAAGTGTAAATTTTGCAAATATTAACGAAAAATTATTTTGCATCATATTTTGAATGTACAATATGATTTTAATAATTTGATTTCTAACCTTGACAAAATTTTTCATCAGATTCATCGTTGCAATCGGGTTCACCATTGCATCGTAACTTCTTATCGATACACTGACCGCTCTTACAATGAAATTGCAATTTGGAACATGTAGCTATTAAGAAAACAGTTGAAAACATGAATATTAGGGGTGCAGGTGGTGGAAAGGATATTTGAGGTGGGCGGGGGAGGATGGTCCCTGAGAAATTGTAATTGGGATGAGGCATGCAATTTGGAATTATGCAATTAAAAAAACAGAAGTACACATAGAAACTAATTTAATATATTTGGGCATATCTAATAAGTTACACTCACGGCAGTTCTGTTCGTCGCTTTCATCTGCGCACTCTGGAATGGTATCACAGACCCAGGCCTGCGGGATGCATTCAATGTTGCCAGATTTGCAAGTGAAATGATCAGGTGAACAGGTCGGCGGTTCTGAAATCAGTCAAGTAATAAAGCAGTTAGGAAAGAAGACAAATAACCACAACAGAAATATCACATCATCATTTTATCATATTGTGCAAAAATCGTTCGAACTGAAAATGCCCACAGCATGCATACTATGTGTTGAGCCCAGTTCAGCGTACTAAGCAATGTAGCACGACAACCCAGCATGACAAACGTCAACTTTTTCAAGCATCTTACCTCCACATGTTGTTCTGCTATCACTTAAAACTAAGTCAATCGGACATGCACAAGTTTTCACACCATCGACGAGAAAGCAAATATGAGAACAACCACCGTTGTTGATGGCACACGGATGGGAATCTAAGAAAAGAAATTCATCATGTAAATTTTCATACCTTAACAACACCTACCTGCATTTCACTGGCAATTGCCATATTTAATGAGGTCAATTATATTTTGTTTTAACACCAAAGACAGCAGACATTTTTGTCTGTGAATGAATACTCACCAGCTGACGGGTAGTTGTTTCTAACAGCGTGGATATCGCTCAGCTGAGTAAGACGACCAAGGATTTTCTCCCGTTGATCTCCATTTATTTTATCAACTCGCTCAATCAACATTGAATCCTTGTCAATCCAGTATAAATGGGTTCCAAATATCGTTAAAGCATGTGGTGTTGATAACTGAGAGTCGACCAAGACATTACGATTTCCACCTAAAATAAACAAATTATGTAAATTAGCAGTCACCAATTTGTGAAAACAGATTTATCTAATCATTAATTGGGCCAAGGTAATTCATATATTTGAAAAGCACATATATTGACATGATTTATTACATTATAGAATATCCCATCTATTCAAATTCA